TGGAAAGGATAAACTTAGTTGACACATTTTAAAATAAGGGGAGAAAATGAAGTTAAAAATGTTAATTTCATGATTGAAAAACACAAAAAGATTTCCTTATCACGTGAGAGGATAAGGGAAAAGTTTATAAAAGTTTATAATCTTTAGGAGCTGTTCCTTTATACAAAATTGCACAGAACTGGAATGTCTTAGGGATTGATAAACCCTTACATTGTATGTATGAAAATGGTTTCAATATCCTGTACCTTTGCCACATCTTGAAAATTAAACTGAAAATGTAGTCAGAAATTCAACACTGCTTCCCGTATTTTGTTCTAATTGTTGAAAAGACACTCCTTACCTTCCCTGACACTGTATCTGGATAGTAATCCAAAAACACTTGTATCCATTATGAAGGATACACCCAATGACAATGACAAGTTTTTTTATTCTCGCAAACTGGTTACAGTGTAGAGAATTATATACATATATATAGTACAGTTTACATATAAGTGAAATTAGTTCTTCATTATTGACATAATTAAATAATGTAGTAAACTTTAATGTACTAGGACTTTCAAAATAGTATCTCGACATAAATTTTCTTCTGTTTTGCACTATCTGGTGTTCATTACAATTAAATAAATAATGATATTCGTCTCCAATTTCATTTAGGTCACAAAAAAATACGTTTTCTATCTTCTCTTGGAATGTTATTCCATCTACCATATTCAATAGGAAATTTTACATTACAAATTCTAAATTTACAATAAACATTTGCTAGTCTTGGAGGGAGATCTAGCAGGTATTTTTCTAATACTAAGTCATTTTTAAAAATTCTGTAATTGGTCCCTTTAGATGAATTGAAAACATCGCTTCTCCAATTATTAATGAATTTATCTTTTAGTATATGGAAAACTGTATTTTTCAACCATTGGGTACTTTGGAATTCTTGACTTTCAAATATATTTATTAAATTACATTCATCAAGGATATTTTTAATACAATTCAACCATTGAGTATTATAGTTTATAATAATTTTATACATTTTATTACTTAACTTATTAGGTATTGGTTCTAACAATTTGGCCCAAAATCCAATCATTCTAACTTTGATATTTATACTCAGAGGAAATCTTCCTAATTCCCCATAAATCATGAAATTGGGTGTCGATGTTTTCACCTGAAGAATATGTTTACAGAATTTTAAATGTAAACGTTCTAAAAGTTTGTAATCACAAAAACCCCAGACTTCACAACCATACAACATGACAGGCTTGATAGCTTTATCGAAAATATCTAATTTACAGTCAATTGATAGATTATGGTTTCTGCATTTAGCAATAGCACCATACATTGCTCTAAGGCCCTTATCGTATAATTGTCTAATATTTAACTGCGTGAAACCATTTTGAGTAAAATGAACACCAAGATATTTGAAATTTTTCACAATTTCTACTTCATTTCTGTTATAAGTAAAACGTATATTTTGGGATACTCTCCCTCTGCCAAATATCATCACTTTTGTTTTATCGATATTTACTTTAAGATGCCACAATTTTGAATAATCATAAAACACATTAAGTTGTTTTTGTAAATCTTCTTGGGTGTCTGCTTACAAAATTGTGTCGTCAGCATATAACATTACATACAACTTGAGATATATTTGTAACTCATTCTCAAGTTTTCCCGCCAAATTTGATAGGCCTGTACAATCATTAGATTCTAAAAACATTTCAAGGTCATTTAGATACAATGAAAATAAAAATGGAGAAAGATTTTCACCCTGCCTAACCCCGGAATTACAGGTGAAGATATCGGAGAATTTTCCATCTTTCATAACTTTAGCCTTAATTCCATTGTACATATTAACAATAACTTTAAAACATTTTCCATCTACATTATTTGTTATTAATTTATTCCACAACCCTATTCTCCAGACACTGTCGAACGCTTTCTCAAAATCTATGAAAGCACAATACATACGGTTTTTGAATTGTTTTGAAAGTTGAATTAAAGAGTATAAAGAAAATATATGATCTATAGTAGAATGTTGCCTACGAAAACCTGCTTGGTTTTCAAGTATAAGTTCGACATTGTCTGCATATGTATTTAGACGCTCATTAATTACAGCTGTAAATAGTTTACCTAGGCAACTGACCAGTGTGATTGGTCTATAGTTTTTAGCGTCATACATATCACCTTTATTTTTAAACACGGGGATAATATTACCCATAAGCCATGCTTCTGGTACATTACCAGAATCAAGTATATAGTTAAACATTTTAACATATAATGGAAGCATTATGTCAGTAGTTGATTTGATATATTCATTACATACTAAATCATCACCAACAGCCTTATTAGATTTCAATCTATTGACACATTTCAAAATTTCACTTGGAGTAATTGGACCATTTATAAAGGTATTAGTTTCAAGGTTAGACAACTCTTTGAGTTCATCAAGGGACAGTATATGATTGTCATCACCATCAAAATCATTATTGAAACTTTTGCTAAAAAAGTCAAAAAGATCATCGATATTTGCCTTACATGTGTTTTTCTTTGGAGCACCCTTATTTATTATTTTCCAATATTCTTTCGGATTTCTAGTCCTCAGATTTTTTAATTTGCTTTTAATCTGAGTTTTATGATTCTTGACAGCAGTGCTCAGTGTTTTATGATATTTACGCTCCTTATCATATAAGTCCTCTTTTAAACTTATTTCCCCATACCTTTTATAAAATCTTTTGGCTTTTCTGTAATTTTGTCGAGCAGATTTACATTCTTTGGTAAACCATGGTTTTTTAAAATTGAAATTATTTTTAGTGCGGTTATTGGGTTGGGTATTTCCAAAAGCATGTTTGGCAGCACCGATGAAAATTTCACATAATTTATGTACAGTGTCATTAATAAAATCCAAATTTACAACATTCTCAGTGTCATCCGTACCATCAATAATGCTATCTATATATAGTTTTCTATCAGCCACATGTTTTACAAAAATATCTTTCGAATCAGTATTCCATCTCTTTGGTCTTGATAAAAACCTCTGACCTTCAGAATCAACAGTATCACCATTGTTATTTAAGTGTACATTTTGATTAATACATAGACAAATGTGAATTGGGCAATGTACAGACTGGGCTATTGAGAATCTTACCTGGTTATGATTAGTACTCACTCATACAGGTACATGTAAAATATCTTCAGTGTAGGGTAGGTAAACAGATTGTCCAGGTAAACATTTTTTACTCAACTTTTCTGTTTTGTTAGAGTTGGGAAGCATGCAGTAAGCCAGTTATTGCATGATTTCTCGTCACTCGGGACTTATAACACTCTCGCTTCGCTCGGGTGTAATAAATCCCTTGTTACTCGAAAACCATGCAATAACCTTTACATAAGAGTTTCTTTTCCTTCTCCAAAGAACTTTTCATACTGGCCTATCCGTCAAAACAAAATAAACTGGTTCTAACATGTACATACACCACACAGTGGTGTTGGATCGGAGTAGACTACAATGAATCCAAATTGTTTCATGTTTGTATACAGTACTAGTATACACCTTATACCGTTTTCTATGAAACGCCGCCGTGCCATTACAATCATGAAAAACAAATTAATGGTTTTATTACTTATGAAATACCTGCAGCACTGTAAATTGACCTGTCAAACTACCACGAAATTGACCAAAACAGACACAATGACATAAACGTGTTTTTTTTTCCACACAACCACTTATACAATCAGAAACATATTTGTAAACAATCCTGAGCGGGGACATCCTAATCAGGCAATCAAATGGAAATTATTCCGGTAGGTCATTTTTATCCAATACATACACTCATGAATGTGAAAGATCAAGGGAGGTGTCATCTTGATTTCCAAACGGTAAATCTACTGAAGAGTATAACACCTTAAAACAGACACGGGGACATCCTGATCAGGAATTCAAATGATAAATGTATCCGTTCTTTTTCGTCATAAAGGAAAAGTTAGTAATGAATAAAGTCAAAAGATTCATCATAATGATTTCGCAATGGATATATACATTTAATCAAGGATGGAAAACATTATTAAACATCTTATAACTTACACGGTTCTGAGCGGGGACATCCTGATCAGGAAATGAAATGGTAAAGATATCCGTTTGTATTCATCACATTAGTAAATTGAACATGGAATACAGTCGAAAGTTGTGTCCTTATGATTTTTAGATGCAAAATAGGTAACATGAATGACGAAATACTATATACATACATCTTATAACATACACGGTTCTGAGCGGGGACATCCTGATCAGGAAACCAAATGTTAAACTTATCCGTTGTAATTCATCACATAAGTAAATCTAGTACCGAACATCATCAAAAGGGTTTGTTCTCCTTTCTCCTACTTTTTTTCTGATCAAAGGAATTACATAAACACTGGAAAACAATAGAGGTGTCATTATAGTCTGTTTTGGTATAGTACAGGTAGATTAGGATAGGAAATACTGTGTTAGTTATAGGAATATTTAACAAATCATAATATTTTCGAAATGTAAATCCAATAACTTTATTTCAACGATCAAAATAATTATCATACATCTTATAAAGTTCACGGTACTGAGCAGGGAAAACCTGAAATTCACGATCAGATTTCCTGATCATGATGTCCCTTCTCAGGATCGTACACGCTAACAGCAATAGTTATAGACTATACGGCATATATAACCATTCTTATAAGTCGGAGTTCTACGTATTTTCTCTTTTAATACGGCTCTTGTTTAGTTCATAAATGAATTATTCCCTGATCATAACGTCCCCGCTGAGGACCGTATACACTATAAAAGGTAGTTATAATATATTCAACTGTAGATATCATGACTGACATCCGGACGAGTTATCCTATCTTGACGGTCCTCACCAGCCTCGGACCTGCTCAGCCCCGGTCCCAGTGAGAGACAGCACAGCTGTCTGACGTCACTCCGTGTTTGCTCACAGGAGGGGAAACCCAGGTTAGTCAGCTACCTTTGTCACATTGTTCTAACTTTCTTTTGATAAAATAATTTCAGGGTAGACCGTCGATTTAGCACATTTGAACACTTATTTCTGGCCTTGCCTAACAATGATTTAGTTAAACCATGTTAAAAAAAAGAATACGAGACCATGGACTATATTATATAGTCCGTTGCGGATGTATGTGTGTAAGGAGTGGTTGAGTAAAACATACACCTCACATGTGCTAAACTAAAATACTTGCAGTATAGAAACCATATATAGATCTATCGTTTGCTGAATACTATCAATCAATCAATCTATGTACATGGAATGTTGGTGGCATTGACCTACTTTCGCCCCTAACGACACACATGTTGGATCAACAATAGTGGGGAGATCTGTGTGGTTCTCATATACCCGGCGTACAGCCAGACATTCAACACATGGTCAATGTCATCTGTGCATAGGAACGTATATACCCGCCTGTGCTAATTAAAGGTGTATGTAAAGAGTGTCTCTACACCGGAGGGCGATAAAGGTAAGAAACAAGATTATTATTTTACATGGTCATAAATTTCCGTAATTTCTGGATAATTTTTATCGATTTTTGCCTGGACACGCCCGCCGTAAACACGTGTAATGCTGACATTTGCCATCCACGGAAAGTAATAGCGTCTAATAAGGGAGACTCGGGGATTTTTTGATACTATAAATCATACCAAGGTTTTTGTAAATATTATACGCTAGCCTCCCTTGCTATAAATGAACGTATTACCAGTGGCGGATCCAGAAACCAATCTTTGGTATCGACAGAGAAAAAACATGGTTTTAAAGAAAATTCCTATGCTTGGGATCGGGGTGGGCGTTTAGGGGTGGGCGTTTGGGGTTGGAGTACAGTCAAAATCGTCACGTCAACAAGCCGTGTTCAAAAAGAACCCGCCCACAAACCTCTTGTAATCAAAAATACCATTACAGTACATGGTTTGAAACATGTACGTGCAATGCAAATTTTACATTTCCATATACGTGTATGCGTAATCTTAATTTGACAACAAGTTTCCGAAAAAGATACAATGTTGTAAACTGCTTTTGAAATCAAGGACGACACCGACCTCAAACGTTCTATCAACCAATCGACGAGCCATATGCAGTGAGTGACACGCTGAAACAACCGTACAGTTTGTGGGCGTGTTCTTTTTTGAACACGACTTGTTGACGCCGTGACGATTTTGATTGTATAGAGGTTGGAGGTACCTATCCCGAAGTCCAAAATACCTTCTTGATCCTCCAGGTGTTGCTGTTTCGTGATTCAGGTGTGTAATTTATACTATAGTGATGCGCAGGTGTGTAATTTATACTATAGTGATGCGCAGGTGTGTAATTTATACTATAGTGATGCGCAAACTGACAGTTTCGAGTAATCATAACTTTTAAACAGTTATACATACATACAGCACACTTTATCGGATTCTTCACACGACTTATTTAAATAATACCAAAAAGCTAACAGGGCTTTCTAAAAATAACCTCGAAAATATGTATATGGCTTATTCTTCTCAATTCATCACAACATAACTGTCATTTGTCGGTTTCATGTGAAAACTTATAAAATGTAAAGTGTAAAATTGAAGTATATTTGTTCCGAGAATAGGATCGTGTTGCTAGTTTAACACAAACATTGTTCTGTGTGACGCGAACAGTGTAGACCCCAAGGACACCCCTGTACATATGTACCAGTACAATATCAGCACACGTGTGTCGGCGTGTCAGCTGTGATATGCCATACATGTGCGACAGGTAATCTCATTAAGTAATTATCTTGATTACACGTATTTGGGATGCTACAGCGTTATCTTGTTACTGACATGTGGAATGGTCACGCATTATTATTAGAATATATTTGCAATCGGTGCCGCCATGTACGAGTTGTTCATATATATATATAGGCTATCAAATTCCCCCAAAGTATTCGAAAGTGAGGAACTAGCAGGTCACGCTAGGACAGGAATTTCCATGTTACCTTACAATTTCCGTCAACATCTTCAATCTGTCAGCAGCCTTTATTGAATTGTCTGGGAGTAGCGAGGGGAAAAGTGAAACGAACAGAGTATCTCACTGCGACAGTTAGCAGTGTTTGTGGGCAAGATTTCTATTTTAGAATATTCCTTCACCAGCACCGCCCTGTTCGGATCCGCCATTGATTACTCATGTGTGTTTATTGGTAACAGAGCGTTTCTATTTGTGCCATAATTGAAGTTAGCAAACACTTTTGCCCATGTACATGTAGATTATACCTGTCAATCAAGTGTACGTATTCAACGATGAGTAAGACAACCTAAAATCACGTGGGTTTACCTGTACGTTGTCTGGTAGATTTGTCCTACGTCTGTGCACATCGCCGCCCGCTCACATTTCATTCATATCACGAAAGCTACTTTAAGGCACATGAGGTCAACCAACGACCCATCGATTCAATATCAACAGTGCAAACATACAGGCGAACCATCAAACTTCTATTTCAGTGGACGAGGCTTGACAATTCACCCGTAACACTCAATCTCCCACCCGCCTCTAGCTAGTAAGACATTTAATATACTATATTCTCACGGTCATTGTGATTTTTACAAATCAGTTGGTCTCTGTTCACAACGATCACTGTTCCCTTACCTATACTTATACTTTATATAATTTCCGAATCATACAGTAAATTAAAACTGCTGCTGCTGCATTGCAATGGTAACCGAATATTTGTAATTGTGAATAAATAAAATCTATCAAAAGGGTAGAAGATTTAGCCCTCCTACACGTACAATAGTTCATAGTTGTCTGGATATTTCAGATTTGATGTCGATCGATCTGTTTAGGCGAGATTTCGTTTCAGCCGTTGACCAAACAGTGTTTCAATGGTGTCGTGGTGCGACTGATTCTTAGTGTAAACAGGTCACGTCCCGTTATTTATAATACACTGTGTGTAGCTGAATATCTATTTCATGTGTTACCGTAATTTCTCTAGTATCTCATACAGATGACGTGGGCATATATCTCAATGAAGTGCACTAGTACTGTTATCTGTAGCCTTATGCAGTGATCCAATTATATTTACTATCAGCTCTTTTGACTAATAAGAATGTCAAGGCAGTCTTTTAAGGGCTGTATTTAACCACATACCTTTTAACGCCGACAATGTAACACATGTACCAGTAGTGTAAGTATACAGGTACGAACCTATAACGACATAAATCCACTTCTTAGCAAAGTGAAGAACAGAAGAAGAAAGAAGGAAACAGACTGGAGGCGCGAAGAGATAAAAAGCGTCCTGTTGTCACCATTACAATACATGTAACATGAATCTATCTTAATTTTTTCCCGTTATGTTTCGTTTCTTTCCGGCTATGTCTCTTTTGACACTTCCGGTTAGCTCGTTGTCATAATAACAAGACCTGGTGAGGTATCATGCCACCGTGTCCAAGGTCTGCCACTGCTGTGGCCGATCAGCTAGGCAACACTATGAATAGGCCCTTCAGTGAGTGGCCGATCAGTTAGGCAACACTTTCAAGAGGCCCTTCAGTGAGTGGCGAATCAGTTAGGCAACACTTTGAAGAAGCCTTTCAGTGAATGGCTGATCAGTTAGGAAACACTCTGAAGAGGCCTTTCAGTAAGTGGCCGATCAGTTAGGCAACACTTTCAAGAGGCCCTTCAGTGAGTGGCGAATCAGTTCGGCAACGCTTTGAAGTGGCCCTTCAGTAGGTGGCCGATCAGTTAGACAACACTTTCAAGAGGCCCTTCGGTGAGTGGCGAAATAGTTCGGCAACACTCTGAATAGGGCCCTTCAGTGAGTGACCGATCAGTTAAACAATACTTTGAATAGGCCCTTCAGTGATCATGAGTGGCCGATCAGTTAGGCAACTCTTTGAAGAGGCCCTTTAGTGAGTAGCCGATCAGTTAAACAATACTTTGAATAGGCCCTTCAGTGATCATGAGTTGCCGATCAGTTAGGCAACTCTTTGAATAGTCCCTTCAGTGCATAGCTGATCAGTTCGGCCACATTTTGAAGTGGCCCTTCAGTGAGTGGCTGATCAGTTAGGAAACACTTTGAAGAGGCCCTTCAGTGATCATGAGTGGCCGATCAGTTAGGCAACTCTTTGAATAGGCCCTTCAGTGCATAGCTGATCAGTTCGGCCACACTTTGAGGAGGCCCTTCAGTGAGTGGCCGATCAGTTAGGCAACACTTTGAAGAGGCCCTTCAATGAGTGGCCGTTCAGTGAGGCAAACATTTGAAGAGGCCCTACAGTAAGTGACCGATCAGCTTGGCAAACATTTGAAGAGGCCCTTCATCAGTGAGTAGCGAATCAGTTGGGCAACACTCTGAATTGGCCCTTCAGCGAGTGGTCGATCAGATAGGCGACACTTTGACGAGGCCCTTCATAAGTGTCGATTCAGTTAGGCAACACTTTAAAGAGGCCTTTCAGTGAGTGGCCGATCAGTTAGGCAACACTTTGGAAAGGTACTTCAGTGAATGGCCGATCAGTTAGGCGACACTTTGAAGAGGCCCTTCATTATTGGCGAATCAGTTAGACGACACTTTGAAGAAAAAAGGTCCTTCAGTGTGTGGCGAATAAGTTAGGCAACACTTTGAAGTGGCCCTTCAGTAAGTTGCCGATCAGTTAGGCAACATTTTGAAGAGGCCTTGTAATGAGTGGCCGATCAGTTAGGCGACACTTTGAAGAGGCCCTTTAGTGAGTGGCGAATCAGCTAGGCAACACTTTGAATAGGCCCTTCAGTGAGTGGCTAATCAGTTAGGCAACACTATGATTAGGCCTTTCAGTGAGTGGCCGATCAGTAGGGCAAAACTTTTAATAGGCCCTTCAGTTTTAAAGAGTGGCCGATCAGTTTGGCAACACTTTGAAGTGACGCTGCGTTGCTGTCATGATTAGCCGTTGCGAAGGCTAGTGTACAACTGTCCAGGGATTTAATTTGTAGCCAGAAGCTGGTAAAAAATCATCCCACTACAGATATATTACCAGTTACTTCCATGAAAAATAAGAAGGATGATGAGGTTCTAAGAAATGTGCTGAAACAAATCCGCATACTATGTGTTTGAAACATACAATTTTAAATCATATTCAAACCTCTATATAAACAAAAAAGGAGCTTTACAAACTTGTTTATTGAATAAGCATTCAATTACTGAAAAGACATCTATCCCTTAATTCTGTAGAATCCATCTATAATAAGGCTCCCCGAATGGCGAACAGATTTGTAGTCATGCTTTAACGTGTTCAGTATTCAATGTTCTGCAGGCCACCGCCGAAAGTATATTAGTTTTACCGGTGTTTTGTCCTACCTTTATACTGAACCTAAGTGACACACTGTGTCCTAAATAACCTTCACAACACGCCACGGTTGGTCGTAGACCATTGCGTTTGTGATTAAAATCTTTATCCGAACAGCCAATGGCTTATTTGTATGTTTCTGGTATATGTGAAATGCTGAATGTAATGCTCTTTTTATGGTAAAACAGCCCATAACCTTTCTATGAACTTAAACGTCAGATATCCAGGTGTTGTACTCCTGCCGACCATATAGACCATATACATCATAACCTTGCTATGTACTTTGAAAAACGTCAGATATCCAGTTGTTGTACTCCTGCCGACCATATAGACCTTATACATCATAACGATTGCTATGTACTTAGTAAAACATCAGATATCCAGGTGGTGTACTCCTGCCGACCATATAGACCATATACATCATACCCTTGCTATGTACTTTGAAAAACGTCAGATATCCAGTTGTTGTACTCCTGCCAACCATATAGACCATATACATCATAACGAATGCTATGTACTTAGTAAAACGTCAGCTATCCAGTTGTTGTACTCCTGCCGACCATATAGACCATATACATCATAACGAATGCTATGTACTTAGTAAAACGTCAGCTATCCAGTTGTTGTACTCCTGCCGACCATATAGACCATATACATCATTACGATTGCTATGTACTTAGTAAAACATCAGATATCCAGGTGTTGTACTCCTGCCGACCATATAGACCATATACATCATAACGATTGCTATGTACTTTGTAAAACGTCAGATATCCGGGTGTTGTACTCCTGCCGACCATATAGACCTTATACATCATAACGATTGCTATGTACTTAGTAAAACGTCAGATATCCAGGTGCTGTACTCCTGCCGACCATATAGACAAAACACATCATTACGATTGCTATGTACTTAGTAAAACGTCAGATATCCAGGTGTTGTACTCCTGCCGACCATATAGACCTTATACATCATAACGATTGCTACGACAAGAGAACAAAGTAGTGTAAACAAAACGTTATTGGAAGTTGAAATCGAAAACGCAAGGTTGATATATCAACAAAGGAAAAATTGACATGGGGATACATGAAAAAATTCAAAAAACAGATTTGGCCAGGTATTCCTGAAGGGTAGGCGTCTTCTGCTTCATCGACACCACCAGCTATGTAATGTCGTCATACTACATGTATATTCTAGAAGAGAGAACCAAGGTAGAAACGATGAAGCTTCACAAATGTTCTTTTTTTTTTTTTTTTTTAAAAGATCGACATTATTATCGCATCAGAAGAATATTTGCAAATGAGATCATGAGGACGACCACAATACCTAACAATCATCAGTTTGCATCGTTCGTTTTCTTTACTTTTACCTACTCAGTGGTGTCTCCCAAGGATCCCGATTGCTTATGACCTTAGCTTTTGCGATGATGTACAAAACAAAAACAAACATACAGCTTTGGAGACCCTGTGTTGTCAGTTTATTCGTCAGCATACGACATCCATGACGAAAATCGTGATATTCAGAGTAAGCTTGCGAATATTTAATCGGCTGCAAGATGTAAACACCGTTAATGTGTAGACAGGAGTTTTGCTATCAAGAAAGTGAAAGTTCACGAAAGGATAAAAAGCGAAATAGTCACCTTTATTATACAACTAAGTGACAAACAATCCGTGATGGTCATGTTGTTGGTAAAGATTAATGGATGTAGAACAGTGTGTAGTGTCCTTGGTTTCAAAATCACGAGGAAATGTACGATTGTTGTGATGATGAAATGTCGTTATTTACAGACAACACATCGCCGATGTATCTGAAAGGAAAATTTAAGGTCTTGGAAAGGTATTTGTTACCTGTTCTGAAACGTTCACGATACATTCAATCTCGTATGAAAACAGAACAAAATTGGCCAATATAGGGGCATAATGTGTTCTTATTGGTATTCAAACAGTTTGCTGGAAAATTGTGCCACCTAAGTATACAAAAGTGTTGTCAACCAGGAACACCATCATATTCGTAATTTCGTCCACGGTTATCCATTGTATTGTGGCTCTCGTTTTGTGGGGATTCATGGTGCATACCCTTGTTGTTTAATCCTACCGGTCCCTGTAGTCTTCTCGAGACTCTCAACTTTGATTATCATGTCCTCTTTTGTTGGAGCTATGGTATTTTCTGGGTTTTTTCATATTTAAATTTGAGTTTTGTTTATACTGATTGCATTCTTTTCTGTTGCTAATTACCGACCTTTACATTGTTGTACCGAAACTGTTGACCATATTCACCTTCACACCATAACCGTTTTATCTGGATGATAACGTAAATCGGCTATCGCAATTAACCTTGAAGCTGGTTTCTATCACGAGAGTTAGCTACACGGTATATGATGTTATTGATGATATAACGATATTATCGAGATAGATGCACAACCTTGAATTTGAATCAAAGTGCAACTTTTCTTGTGATAATTCCAAACTTCACACTGATATACTAACAAAAGTACTCTGTCGACTGAAAACGAATCGTATCTTAATTTGGAAGATAAATTAAGTAGGTTATCGTTTTTTGGACTGTTGTATTGAACCTGTGGTATTAATTGCCCTGCGCCTGTATTTGAAGGGGACAATTTAGTTACACCGAGCGGACACTGATATAACACGAGTGTCAGTACTTTATACTTGTGTCAGTGTGTCAGGATCGATTGTGACATCACGTACATTGCTCTGCACACACGAACTGTTGGGGGTGAACTTAAGGTCATTCCAATATGGCTGCCACACCAAACTGTATATCAAATTCAATAAGGCATTCCGTTAGCATTAAACAATCCCTGTCTCGAAAAAGTCCTCCTCCAATATTTCTCAAACATAATTGAGGTACATGCACATTAAATTTCAGAAAAAATATTCAATAACTGATGAAAAAACTCATTTTTATATGTTCATTTTCCAAGCTGAATAAAAATCACAATTCAGGAAAAAATCCATTTAAACTTGTAAATAGCATAAGGTTGGATGTCCATGGAGATGCATTTGTCACCAGTTCCTGTTACTGCGTTTGCGAGTTGTTTTCGACTTATGAGTTTGTCGTCGCGTGCTGACACTATTGTTATTTACATTCGTTTTAATGTGTAACGTTATGTATTGTAATCCATTGTAAACATATATCACGAGTTTCATCAATGTTAATCAGTCGTTATAATCTGTAAAACATACGAGAACAATGTTAGAGAAGGACATATATAAATAAACACCAACATTTTCTTCACCTTTCAAATTTCGATTCCAATATCTCATAAATAGGCAGATTAATTTTACTGCTGTCTGAGTTGGGATAGTCTCACTCTAATAATATTGCAATCAGCATATTCACACAATAACTCCCTCGCGACATGATGTTATGGCTCCGGGCAGAAAAGAACAGGCAATGAGAACGCACCCTGGAGACACGTTTATTGATCTCCAGTTACGATATGCTTTCGTAGCACAAAACACACGGCATGTCGGCTTTCAATGCCGGTACAGTGTTTCTAGAACAGTAAACAAACTTAGTTGTATGATAGTTCATGGCCTAACATTATCATGTCGGACACCTGAGTCCAGTTTTCAAGCGGGTCAGGCTGACGATCGGAAATATGGACACAGCCTGCCATTTTCTCTAGGCTCTGTTAAGATTTCCGATCGTGTGTTTTGCGCTACTCACTTGGGATTTAGCGTGTCATCCCGCTTGCCATCTGCATGATATATGTCAACTCAAACATCAGATTAAAGAAAAAATATTTTTCTGTCGATCTAGACTTCTCCCGGTGTCATACTATGAACGGTTATGACAAAATCGCATGTTTTCTGAAACTGGGTCATTTTACTACGCATTTTCCTTGATTTGATCGATGACATTATAACGTGCCAAATTTGGTGCAGGAACTGTCACCTGAACCTGCGTTCAGAGAAAAGTTCTCGTGCTCAGATTCCATGCCAAAGCCCAATTTCATACTCCAGTGATGAAATTTTCAAGTATTGAAATTGTTCAAGGATTTGGAGAGACTTCAAGACAAACAATGTTTTCATGTTCGCTTTTGTTTAATCTATCACTTGATTTTAACGAGCTACAAGAAAGTAAGTTTGAACACAGAATTCATGCTGGAGCAAGGGAATGGTTTCATAAATATGGAACTTAGCTATGTATCTGTTTATGATGTGTTTTATTTTGTTGCGTGATTAGTCTGTTGTCCTTCCTTAGCGATTACAGTTACATTTTGGCCTTGTGTGTTGACTTTGATGTATGTTTTTGTTTAAATTACAACAAAGTTGAATTGTTTTACATTATTAGAAAATAACTGACCCAGTTATTGTTATAACACAGGAAGTTAGCTATACTTCAAAATGCTGTTTCGTTTCAGGAAACATCGAACCATGTTTAACAATACTATTGTCAGCAAGATATTACTGGCTTATGAGGAGGGGAAGTCAACCAGAGGTAAGTTTATGCAAATTTGTTATTGTAAATAAAGGATAGATTTCTTAGAAAATACAGATTTCTACAAAATTAATCTGTTATTCAGGATAAATCATTTCGTAATAGGTTTTATCTTATTATACATTTAACAGTTCCTTGAATTCATTTTTACTTAATAATAAGGATAATTCGAGTATACCGATTTATCACAACCTAGTTCGTAGGTCGTCTCAAAGCTGTTCACAAATTATTATCTTTGCTTATAATTTAGACATAATTTATATCATAGGTATAGTTTTTTCTAATTAGAAAAGGTTATTTATTCTAGATAAAATTGGACAAAAGTGCGATTAAATACATATCTCTATGGAACACCGGAAATTTGGAATTCTGGCTGTAGTTTTTTAGGTCACCTGAGCTTTAGTTCAAGTGACCTATTGCTATCCGTCGGCGTCCGTCGTGCGGCGTCCGTTAACATTTTACATTTTCAACTTAAGCTGAAATACTGGCAAAGGGATTTCATTAATATTTCATGGGAAGGTTACTGACATCCAGCTGACCAAGTCTTGTTAATTTTCGGGTCGATCAGAAATTCAATATGGCCGCCACGGCCGCCATTTTGAAAAACTATTTTCAACTTAAAGTCAAGTTCTGCTGGGCCGATTGAACTGAAACTTAGTAGGAATGATCGACTCATGGTCCTGACAAAGTTTTGTTATTTTTCGGGTCGATCAGAAATACAATTTAGCTGCCATGGCCCCTATTAGGAAAGATCAGCTCATGATTCTGACAAACTTAAGTTAACGTTATACTTAACAATTTTTTACTCAAATTGATACATATTTCAACAACAAAAATAAATACTGTAGGACTCAGGTGACCGTTAAGGCCCATGGGCCTCTTGTTTTATTTCCGGTGCATTGGAATATATTGAATTTTTCACCCGGATGGTTGTTAATTGGTGATTTTATCCTGATTATGTTTTTTAAATGTGAATTATGTCGACTTGTAACTTGTACAATGCACATTTGCTAACTGCATGTAATGGATGCATCTACATCTACATATATATTTATTATAATAACCATACACAAGGCTTGCATGTATAATCTGATGAACAGAAAGTCATCTTGTAAAACACATCTAATTTTGATGTTGTGATCCTGATATCTTTGATGAACATTGTCTTCATTTTTTTTTTATTATATATCAAACAATTTATTGATATGAAGCATTTTCATGATTATAATCTTTGTTCAACTACAAACAAAAAATGTCACTGCGATATTATTATGATTACTCAAATTGACGGCCATATACAGCTGATTCCGGTCCTCTTGGGTTTCGATTTTCTACGTACATGAAATGTAATTAGTAGTAGCCTTTCTCAAGTGCAGATTTAAGAAAACTAAGCGAGAATGTGCCAATCGATTGAAGTACCAGTTGTACAAGCAAGATATACTTTCTGCCATATTAATACAATTTATGTTGTAAAAAACATTTTCTACGGAAATAATATTTTTCTCGGTGCGCAAGATTACCGGTCAGCAGTGTAAAGTTAGTAGCTGGATATTGATATCACGTGCTATACCACTTACTCCACAGACCCCCGTACTCGGTATTGGCTCCTGTTGGACGACAACCCACTACACGTATGGATCCTAACAGCGTTATACGTCGCCTTTGTTCTCATCGGTCCAAAAGTGATGAAAAACCGAAAACCGTTTAATCTGCAGAAATTCATGGTCGTCTACAACTTTGGTCTTGTGTTCGTGTCTTTGTATTTGATGATAGAGGTGAGATATGTATAGTTATAGGAAACTTATTTAGAACTCCTCTAAGGAGCATCATTACTCCTTTAATATGAGTAAGATTGACAACATTAACAAAGCTCTCGTAATGAAGGGAACATCTGTCCACAACTAGTTTGATGTTGATATACATTTGTGTTAATGTAAAGTTATAGGAATATTACCAACAGAAAAACGAACGTCATTTATTTAGATAGAGTGTCTTACTATATAATTTTAATGTAATTTGTCGTGTAGCACATTTGTCGGTAAGAACACTTTAATACTGTTTATCTGTATGTTATGCCACGTTTGGTTTTGGCCAAAGCGTCAAAATAACGACCTATTAACTACTTTTATGAAAACAGTGGACATTTTGGATACATATGGTAGGCATATGAGCTGTATTATAATTACTATAAAATACAAAAAAAAAGAACCAAAACTTAATATATGAATGTAGATAGACAAACAAAGTAAACGTTTGGTCCTCCCCCTAAAGTCGTGCGCAGTGCAAGTGTCCTGATAACCCTTTATCGATGAAACATTTGTCAATGTCATAACATCAACCTATCGATATTCTCAATCGTAGGTAGTGGAGGAACTGTTTGATAAGAAAGATAAGAGAATATTAAAAAAGAGGAAATACATCAATTTATTTGAAAGACAATAGGCTACTCTACCACTGACATATGAAATAGGTGAAAAAAGAAAAGGAACTTCCTTTGAAAATATACGATTAAAAACTGATGATCTTCTTTGAATATTAATGTTGCGTTACAAGGCCTGTAGGATATAATGTATAATGTATAACAAAACATGTCATACTGGTACACATCTACCCTTTGTTGTAATATCTCGCATTCAACAGCTTACACACCAATAAAAACCTCAACTCTCATTGTTAAAGATGATGAATTAGAGTCAATGCATGAAATTAATAACAATTCTGTCCTTTCTTTCAGATAATTGCTAGTGCATATGATATTGGCTATTTTAATGAGGATCCATGGTGCTGTAAATACAACCGAGATACACAAAACAATCCTAAGGAACTACGGGTACGTAACGTGTTAAATATGTTCTACGGTCCAGTGCAATCATCTAAGGTAGGGCCTTCCTACATTTGTATGTTGTATACAGACATTAAGATTAACGTTTGTGTTAAATATTCATAATTATGTTCAAATAAAGACCCGGAAAGGTCGAGGATCTTGTAAATACGTTTGACTGTTTTAAGGAGTAAATGAACGAAATATTTGAAATAATCCTCTTTATTGTTGCATTATTATTAAAATATTAACCTAACAAGTGTCACAATCGTTAGTGCAGTGGACATGCTTTGTAATCACGATGTCCAGGGGTGGAATCTAGGTTGAAGAAGTGATTCTGTTTAAAAAAGGATATATATAAATAGGCAAGCAGAACGTATGAAGAAATATAGCGAAATAATCAGAACTCTTCTTCGACAGAGGTATAACATAGACTTTTGTCAATTTTACCCTTACAAATACGAAAGACGCCTGTATGAAATCACATGTTCTACTGAAATACAGGTGAACACTGTATATGAAAAACTGTAAGGACGAGTTTTAAAAGCCTATGGTTCTGTTTGAGTGTATGTATTTATGAGAATAAATGACTATGAACGTTTGTTGGGTCTGTTGCTCTGAGATGCATATATCAACAGTAAACACTGTATTGTCGGATATACAGTTAAACGCCTCTATTGATCAACCGGGTACACACATGAGTCACCGCAGGCAGTGTTCAATGTCAAAATAGGTTATGTCGACCACAGTCACAAGTCTTATAAGGGGATCTAGCCGATAATCTTTGTTGAGATTATTTTGTTCAATATTTTAATGGTTGCGTATCGTGACATCAATTAAGTCATTACTACAAGTTCGTAAAGGCTATATAAAAAAGATTTAAAAATCGTGATCAAGTGAAATAAAAGATAAAAATCGTGATCAGGTGAAATATGCAATAAAAATCGTGATCAAGTGAAATATAAAATAAAAATCGTGATCAAGTGAAATATAAAATCCTCGTCTAGGATCTAGATCAATGAAAGGTGAAGCTTTTAATAGCTAGTGTTGCCGCATCTGATTCAATATAGTAAACGCGTGTGTAAATAACATAAACAGTGCTTCGATTATCTAATCTTCTCACATAATTCCATTATTATGTGACGAACATTATTGTAAACCTCTTGATTGTCGTGCGTATTTTTTCACGTTTTTAATGTTTTGCAATAAATCAGTTGCTGTACTTCGGCTATTTTTTTACGAACATTTACTTTCACGGTGTTTTATTTAATTGTTTTATGTTTGAACTATCGGAAGAAAGATTTGCGAAATATTTGAAATCACGATAGCCTGCATTTGGGAAATTACTCAAAATTATCTGTCTCAGTTATTTACGGTATTCTTTCATGAAAACCCCCCAAATTATTTTAAGGGCATCTTCGAAACACAATTGAAACATGCATACATAGGGCATCTACTAATTTGAATAGGTCATGTTCAGGGAGTCTTGTTCAATTTGTCTCAAAACCAACTCTATTGATGGAAATAAAACATGTCAAATGAAATTGTGCCTGTTTTTTTTTGCAGATAGCGACTGTGTTTTGGTGGTACTTCCTCTCCAAACTATTAGAGTTTATGGATACAGTTGTGATGGTACTCAGGAAGAAGAATGATCAAATTACATTCCTGCATGTCTATCACCATTCTAGCATGTTGAACATTTGGTGGTGGGTGACCACATACCTTCCTGGGGGACAGTGTAAGTGTTCAGTCTCGCGGGTGATATATGCTGTGGCGGGTCGTAGATATTTCACGTTACGTTATTGTTGCATTGGATTCTATGATCATTGACAATTTTTTTCAACATCCAATTTCGATAAAAGGTTACGTTCCAGGTATTGACAATAAAAGCGCTGTATCGTTTTCTAGCTTTTAGCCACATTTTCATAAAACTTGGAAATAGACAGGCTTACTTACAAAATATAAATAAACATAGAATAAACATAGAATTTTGAACATGGAGTATCGTGAAACGTTTACGGCATGTCACTGTGTACATGTATTTAATGCCACATTAGCATTTTCATCATTTGGTGATGAGTGATACATACTTTCCTGATGGACAATGTGAAGGTTAAACCAGGAAACATTCTGTGCCTTACGTCAAACAAAACCATGTCTAACACTCAATGTTGAACACCGTTATCGTCGTTAGGAATCTGACGTCACTAAGAATTGGCCAAAGATTAATGGTAGTTGACCGATTATCTTTTACGAAAGTAGAAATATACCGGCTCATATACCCGATCAACATAAGATGATGGGAACAATTCGATACAATACAATATATACTGTCAGATCATTAGGTGTATACTTACAGAGATCACGCTATCATATCTCCGCTTACATTGTAATTATGTATTCGATCACTTTGATTTTTTTTGGTATTAATTCACGGTATGGTAACTACCCCTACAAATTCTGGTTTTCATTCCAAAACTTGGATAAAGTTTCAGCAGCACATTTCGCTATAAAACGTTATTTTATAATCTTTAAAAAAGACTTTTGGATTCTGAATTTCATCTGTGAGGTATTACTAGCATAATCCTCTTCGTGCCGACGGTATCACGTATGATACAGCCCTTAAAAACGAAATCATATGTTAAGAGCTCTGTTTGCACTGACATGAACTAGAACCAATGCTGGGTAAACATGTATTTCCCATATTATTAGCTTTGCTTGTTGGCAGTATTTCTAACATCCATGATGGATTTCCCCATCTAAAGAACCTTTAGATTTGGACCAGACTGTTGACTGCGTGAGAGTATATACAAATTGTGTCAGATTTAGAAGTTGAAAGATCAGCGCACGTTTAAAGATGTATCATATGTGATATCTAAAGCGATAGGGGAATGTTTTTTCTTCCGAATTGTTCGCCCTCCGGAATTATCCATATAAAGAGAGTTTTCCCGTTGTGCGTATAAGTGTGTCTAATGGTGACCAGAACAAATTGTAATAATTATCAGTTTTTATATTTCTTAAAATACGGATATTATAAAGTTCACGTTAATATGCTAAACAGTCAATGCATAATGGCTGGTGCTGTAAACAGGCACGTGAATTGTGTTTGCTACCCCATATATAAACATGTCCAAACATCTCTGTTGCAGCCTGGTTCTCCAGCAGTCTGAACTGTTCTGTCCATGTCATCATGTATCTGTATTACGCCCTGGCAGCCATTCCGTCCATGAGGAGCAAACTTTGGTGGAAAAAATATATCACAAAATATCAATTAGTAAGTACATATAACAGCCGAAAATTGATAAAATATTAAAAAAGATACTGTTCATTAACTTTTGTTAGTCCTTTACGTTTGGTTAATTATACTTATACATACATTGATAACATATTTCATCTTTATTTCAACCAGATTATTCATGATATCTATTCGTGATATCGTACTAAGTATACATATATCGCACTGGGGTATATGTATGTTGTACTAAAGTGTATTTTTATCGTACTTATATAAATATTTAACGCGCGATATTTTAATCAGACAGCAAATCTTTTTGTCATATTGTGTATTGGTGTTATGTTTGTTCTTCTTCATTTTTATTCCATTACGGATGAAAGTAAGAACATGCCATTTCAAGTCGATTTTAATAAACAGTTATATTTAGGCATTACCACACAGATGTCTAAATCTGACGTCTCGGATTGTATAGATGAGTAGTGTGTGACTAACCTATGATACTATGAAGCTGCTGCCGTTATTTTGAGCGTTCACGATGTCTTACCTTCGGCTTTTGTATTTCCTAATTACGTGGTGTTTTTTTTTTATTTACATATTGTGTGTGGTTATTATTTTTTTTATCCTGGTATTGACAGAAGTCGGTCAATAAAGCCAAATTAAAAAAATCAAGTTTTCATTTTTTTTATTTTTTATTTTTATTTAGAATAACATATTTATGGACCACAGTATCGATTTGGAAAAGGACGATTGATATTAAGTTGTTCATAACATGTTTTACAGACGTTTAAACCTGTGTGATGTTGTTTGTTTAACAGGTCCAGTTTGTCCTCATTCTTGTTCATACAATGCGGACGGCCTACACAGGGTGTGACTACCCAATGTGGGGACAGTTTTTAATAACAGGGTAAGCTTTCGCGTTGTGCATTGTGTATGCCATTTGCACCGATTTTTTTTCTTTTCAATGTCAATACAGCAGTAATAACTAAGCAGAAAGGGACGTATTTCTCTAAATGTAGTTCAACATGTGGTTCTCACTAGATTTGTATATACAGTCAAACCTAGGCAAGTGACCACCTCTGTAAATAAAATCATCTGTGCTTTTATACCGTTTTTAAAACTTTCCGTTGCAGTTACAGTTAAGAATGTATTTGTATGAGAACTGAACCTGATTAAGAGCTTCCAATAAGAAACCGTTTTATGGACTTCCTGAAGGTAGTCTCTGAAGATAATCCATAACTGATATATGTTTCCATTCCTTTTTGTTATTTCCGCGTTCGACTATTAAACAATACTGTTATATTCCCACCAGGTATATGATTAGCATGCTAATCTTGTTTGGGAACTTCTACCTCAACGCGTACATCAAAAAGAGACGATTAGGAGCGGCCAAAAAGACAGAAGATAGTTCTAATGGAGTTTTAAACAACGGAGTGCATAAATCTGCTGTGAATGGGCATTCAAACGGTCATTTGAATGGCCGGACTGACGTCGTGTCACGTTAACGTTGCTTCTCATGTCCGCCTAACTGTTACAGGGAACATAATAGCCATATATCTATGCAATGCACATGACATGGGATTTATATCTCTAGGCTTAATGATTTCTACTCTTTAAATGGCAAATTTATATACATGGTTTTGTTTAATACTATACTATATGGTTAGTTAACAAACGCCTATATCATAAAATGTATTACCAAACGCTAGTGCCATACTTGTCGTTTGATTTGTTCTTGGCTTTTAACAAGTTGACCGGCATGTATATGCATATACTTTTTGTCTACACCTTTATTAACTACGCCAAAAAATGAGGACCTGTCAAATTCCTAAATCTATATGCTCCTTATTTACGTATAAACAGTAGAAATTTTACCGGTCACTCCTGACCGATTCTACAGAAATATTTATTCTGGAGTCAACCTTGTCCCTATTGTACACGTATTTCTTTTGCCTCAATAAATTTCTTTACGGCAAACAGGTTTGTCTATTTTAAGAGAAAACCACACAGTTTCACCGGTGCTAGAAAGAGTACCAACAGAGTGCCTGCTCAATGCAATTGTTTTCCTGTATTAGTTTTATTTGTGTTTGCTATAAATCTTCACTGTCACACGTGGTTTATCTTTCAATCATATTTATATAGGCTTGTTTGTGTCTACCTGCAGTTTAATTGCTCATTTTTGTTGTGAATAATGCTATATATTGTATTATACATACATGATATACACACACATTGTATAAATACTTTGTATAAATGCATGTACATTGCATATGCATATTAAATACGTACGTATATTGCATACATATATTCTATACAAGAACTATATACAATGTAGATACAATGTAGATACAATGTTTGAATTATTTATCATAATATATAATACATTGTATACATAAATCATAATATATACATGTAATACATTGTATACATCAATCATAATATATAATACATTGTATACATACACTATATGAATGCATTCCTGCGGCCATACTTTTGCATGATATATAATAACCTTTTTAAATAAACCATGCGCCATAGTATCAATACAAAAAGTCAAACGGGAAAGGTTTCATGAACCCCCGAAAAACCGGAAGTGAAATCATTTCCCGGAAGTGTAATGTGTCCTGTCCCACAGTTGGTACCATTACTAATTTATTCAGTGTAGTCCATGAATGTAAACCCTCGACAATGGCGACCAATTTTTCCATATAATCATATATCAACCTTTTACTCTTATATTGTTTTATTAATTTAACTTTGATTAATAACCTAGTTTAGTCGTTATGTCTAAAATAGTGTGATTGATGAAAGGTTGTTGGTGTGATCTTCGATTTAATTAGTTGATATATTTTGTGTTTTTATGTTGTTAGAAAATACTCTTCAATTTTGTATTCTCTTTTAACTGATTTACAAATATATTAATAATTTTCACATCATGATCTCACATATTTAGGAATAGTTTTGCCGAATGCTTGACTGCAAGAATCACATAAATTACCGTTTTAGATAAATTGTAAAATATAGTGCTCTCTTTAGTGGAGAGAAAATCACAACAGGCATTATTTATCTTTATTTGATACAAAATATCTTCACATAATTATTGAGTATAAATACTTTTGAATATGTCTTTATACAAATAAAAGACTTATTTATAATCTGTTGAAGTTTTGTACAAAATGTTAAAATGTTAACAAAATGGTAAATTTGCGTAAATTTGCGTAAAATGCTAATTTAGTCAGTAGTGATGTATATGTACTTCAGCAATACCAGCAAATCTGGATATAAATGTAACAATATGTTTTAATAATCATCGAACTGGAACGTCTGCACGTATCCAATGTCTGATATATAGTGCCACACGTAATAATGTACACGACATATAACTACCATTGTTTATTCAATGTTGTTGTCAAGGTCAGAGTGGTGAATCCATGTGTCTAGTTTGTCAGCTTGGTCGACAGAAAAAATCAAATTTGTCCATGATTGTCAAACTTAAAAGTTAAACACATGCAATTTAGGATTCAAATCGATCATGATCAGGAAAACATCACGATTAACATTAATCTACTGCAAAAGGGTTTGAAACAATACATATATTTTAATGTTTTACTTAAAATATCATTAGGCTTAACATATCTTAACCAATGGACTTGTAGGTTCGGATTACTTATTTACACACTCCTACCTTACGGCGGTTGGTCGGATGTCACGATTACAATATTTATAAATGTCAGACTTTGTCCAATACGATGCAAACACGATTTACGTACACAATGTTTACTTTGCAGACGGTACACACTTGTGATACCTGATTAAACCCAGGTACACAGTTAATGCATGACTGGCTTACCTCCCCGTCTCAATGCATAAATCGTGATCCTGTTGTGTTAAGATCCATTTGCTAAATTTCATTTATGGCAAATTGTTAAATTCAACTTTTTTAAACATAATTTTACAACTACGAATATTTTTGAATACATCATCTGATTGTGATAATTTTGAATCCTGTGACATACATACTTATTTTTTTCAGAAATTATATAGAATCACTGATTCAAATAATATTAGAATTTAGCATTAAGCTGAAACACCATTGATAGAACATATTTATGTATTTAAACCTCTCTAGAATTACAGAATGCCATAATAGAATAATACCATGATTATCGTATTGAAATCTCTTCCAGTTTTCAAAAGACACAATTACAACTATGTTGTTGATTCTTCATTCAAACTCAATGAAAAATGATTTTTTAAATGGTTTATGACTCATAGTTTTATTTCATACATTTATGTTTAACCATGTAATTTATTTAAGATGGCATTGAAACTAGTACATGACGTCAACTTTCATAAAATAATGAACTGTCAGTTTAAAATGAGATGTTTATTTCTAATTTGTTTTCGTTCTCTTCGTTTCCTCCTCAGGTGTGGAAATTTTCTCTGCTTGTTTAGTCAGGCCAGAGCTTAGCGATCTCTACACATAGGAAAGAACCAAGAGGGAAAAAACGAAAACTTTACATTTCTTTTTGAAAACCATTGGTTATTGCTTTTTTTCTTGTTCCAATCTCAGGTATACTGTTTGCACCATATATGTACATGTAAGAGCCAGAATCAATCTGCTTTATATTATCACAAGAGGGAATTCAACAGGAACTCGGGCAGATTTTGTATCGTCTCTTTTGGGATTGAGAAAAGATCAACCCTGGTCTGCAGGTGCTATTGTAACACTTGGCACTACTATGTTTTCTTTATTTGTTCGCTTACCTCCTGTTCCATTTCGGTATTGACTCCATGAAAACCTCTGTTAAACCCTTTGTCAAAATGATTTGACAGATTAAGGTGTAAAGCTACCGTGTCAAGGTTTGTTGTCAATCACCTATACATGATCGCCTTAGGTGTTGCTAGAAACCAAAACCCTTATAACAGGAAATGAACACGCACAAGTATGTCCGACCCTAACAGCAACATCTGCATTTGTTTCAAACGTCAATACTATGTAACAATTGTATTATTATAATTGACTGTCTGCTGTAGCCAAACATTTGTGACGTAATAAAGGGTTGTATTGTCGTCTTTCAATTTTACTGTTTTCTACACTGTTTCGGGACACTTTTAACACGAATTTTCATATTTTCACCCTAGGACCATTTGATGTAAATGGCCATATGGTGAATTAAATATTTGGTTGTTATTGCCCTTCTGCATCATTAACCTATTTTTTCAATTAATGTTTCCTTACTTTGTATTTTTAGCTATGATAAATGAGAGTAATATAACCGTTGACATCTGTCTGGGACCATTATGGACTATAATATGTCTTTAGGTTTACAGTAAATCTGTTCTTCGTTTGGAAACAGCAAGTGCTATATATTTTCTTTCTCCGGTAGAAAGTGAAAAATCTTATAAATACCAATTTATACCGATGAGCATGTGATTGCAAGATGTATAACAATCGATCTCGTCAAACCTTTACATACCAGATCACTTATTTATTACGATACAATATCATATGAATCATCCTGCATATATTACATTGTCAGTCGAGTTTTTTTAGTTATGGTTTCTTTGTAATGTAGTCTTCTTTTGTAATTGTTACGTTCAGTGTGAACGTTTTATTCTACGAAGTACACTAGCTGTGACATACAACGCGTGCTGTTCGGTTGATTTCTTGTTGAATATGAATTCACATGTATTGTTCCTGTATCGGTTTGAATCAAAGTGCATAGTTGGTTGTATTATACACGGAATAACCAATAATTGTATTGTTGTGATGCGCACCATTGTTAACCATTATGAAGACACTTTTGTAATATTATATATTTTGTACTAGAGCGAGATGCAGCTTTACCAATGTTGATGACTTACTGTATGCCAAACAATATTGGTGGATCGTTTTTTCCTGGTTTACCTTTACAACCAGTTTATTTGTGGATATACAGACCTTAAAAGTCAACCGTGATATGCGACGTTACACTTATTTACTGTACTACATGTAGTATTGTCGGTCCCAACGTGATCGGATTAACCGTGGACATAAAAACACATCGAAATGGTAATATTACTCAGTGAGTGATCTACTTCTTTATCATCCTTTGAAAAACTTAAATTTTGGCACTTTTACATGTAAACGCTTTTGAATTAAGGTTATATGATTTGAACTGTAAACAAACCTTTTTAAAGAAACGTTATGTATTGATATATATTTTATCCTTTCACTTCTACAAATAAAATATAAAAATCGAAACGTGTTTGGTCTTCGGAGTTATAACAATGAAAGCCGGAGTGGAATTGTAAAATATGCCACAGATATATGACACATGGCGCAAAATCGGTGCGTATATATAAATATGTTGTTTTGGTAAAGGTTTGACGTCCTCGAAACGTCATCGTTTGGAGAAGGCCGTCTAGCAGGACACCATCGAAAGATATACCGCGTAAAAGAAAAACTACATCCCATGTGTTGCTGTTAGGCTACATAACAAATGTTGGGTTCTTTAATTTCCCCTTAGCATACATAATACACAGAAGGAACCCCGATTCTGCATGTTGTACATCAGTCGCCTCTTATGCAGCAGAGGGTAACAGCTTCTCTATTCTTTCCCGAACCTGCACAGAGTGAACTCAAAAGACATTAACAAATGAAAACACAAGGGGAACCTTTGGGGTATAAAAAAAGAGAAAAGGAAGATGAAACCCAGCCGTACTCTGTAAGGATGATTGCTTCCTGCTTTACATTTGTCACTTCTCACCCCATTTCCTGTCAAGTCGATGAAAAGTAGGTAGATAATCAGCGATCTTAGTCGTGGAAAACATTGTAATAATTATAAATTGAAATTGTGACGACTGTGTAGATAGAAAACACTGACGACGTCATATAATAATTGGCCAACAGGAAGCGTCTGTCCAGAAAAAACACTGGCAACGTCATATAATAATTGGCCAACAGGAAGCGTCTATCCAGAAAAACCTGATAC